GAAGTGAAGGAAGGGAAGGGGAAGAGCAGGGCTCTGCGGGGAGAGGAACGCGCCCGCCTGAACTCTGGCTGCTTGCCCCTATTCCCAAATGCCTCCAAAACTCAGATTTGTAAAGTCAGAAACAGTGAAACGTGAAATGACGCTGATCTTAACGACGCTTTCCCAGAAAACTCTCCAGAAAATCACAGCGCGCGGGCTGACGGTTTGCAGATATCTAAATACAAAGCAGGACATTGTTTTTATCTCGTATTAAAGACAGTTGGAAAAAAAAAAAGAACAAACACAAGGCACTGAGACGTGAAGAAAGTTTAAAATACGGAGCCCACCCATGGTCTTGTGGACTGCCGCGGCACCCTCGGGCAGACGCCTCGTCCAGGGACGAGCTGCCATCAGGGAGCACCGAGGGACACCACGGCCAGTGGCATGTCAGATCAGCAAGAAAAGTCGTGAGACTTTGTTGGTTTCAGCACCACTGACAAGAAGAAATGTGCAGATCCTTGTGTTCAAATTTTTTTCTGTAGGTATCTGATTTTACGATGGCATTTTATTCAAGTCTCTAGAGCCTGGAGAGGTTGAAACTAAATGTTTTCCCACGAGCCAAAACCATTTTTTAATTTTTTTGGCTTGCAGAGATTTTGAGCCACAATTTCATTTCGAACCGATCTAAAAATAAAATTTCAAAATCCTTCTTTTTTTCGTTACCATCAAAGAAATGAGACCTCATCTGATGAGACGACCTGGCACGCCGGCATCGCTGCAGCGATCTCTCAGCACATGCCCCACTTTCCTCGGCGCTCCGCATCCACAAATCGGGATGCGCGCCGTTCCTCTCAGGCCCTTCCTACAGAATATTTATGGTGCATCCACATCCTGAAAGAATTTAAGGTTCAAAACAATTGATTAATTTGCTCTCCAGTTCTAGGGGGAAGGCAGATCCCTTATGGAAGGGCATCATGAATTCTAATTATTCAATGCAGGCAGAAAATGGCTCTTTTAGATTAAAATGTTCTCCCCTCGTCACTGCCCTGCTTCCTTCTCTCCCACACAAAATTAAACTCTGTTTCTGTCATCTCTACAGCCTGGGGAAGGCAAAAGTATCTGCGATCTACTTAAATTTGGTTGCAGGAGCAAACTTCACCCACAGCGCTGGCAGCCCTTGACTTAGTGCTGTCCCTCAAGCAAATGAGCATGTCACAGCCTGACCTCCATGCCGGTACCACCATCCACGAGTCCTCCGTTGACCCAAAAAGGGCCACCACCACTCTTCCCTTCCTCGGCAGTGTGGTGGAGCAGCCTGACGCCTCGTCTCCCAATGGTGCCCAGGTCTGTGGGCCAACAAGCGAGCTGCTCTCCTGTCCTGCCCCACACTGACCGCTCCCCAGTCCTCACTTTTCAATCGTTAGTTAAAAAAACCCATTGCCTTATGATTTATTTCAATATATTGAAAAACTACAGAATTTTTCACCTTCTCTAAAGCCACAGTCACACCCAGCACAGTTAGCATCATTGTCAACTGCACTGAGAAACACAGCCATCACTGGAGATACCAAGAAAAGTAGGATCTCCGCCTCTTCACAGATCAAGACATCACTAATGGTCTGTTCTACCAGTCCAGTCTGGTTTCCACCGCACCCCATTTCCACATTAAATGTCCTGGCATCTGCTAACTAAAATGTTTACAGCAGTGTCACTGCAGCCAGGGCTTGGGCAGGGGATGGCAAAAGCCAAGGGCGCAGCTGCAACTGCTGCAACCCCACCTCCTTCTCCCAACTGCATCTGACGTGCTTCCTCCCAAAAAACAGGGGTGGAGCATCCCTGTCCTCCGTGAGGTTTTGCTCCAACATTGGCAAGTTTCAATTGCACTGAAATAATTTATTTCAGATAAATGCCAACAACCATGGTACAAAGAGAGGATAAGCAGCAGCCTCCACCCCAGGGTGTTCCTACCCCACATGAGCGAAGCAGCCAAGAGCAAATGAACATCTGCATTTCAGCAGTGGGCCAGAGAGACACAGAGACCAATGTTCTTGAAGACACATTTATTCCTTGCTATCTTTGATCTGGGCTTTTTTAAGGGTATTTTAGATGTGCAAAGCTGGAGATGGGGCACGGGTGGCAGTGGGAAGAGCTGCCTCCCTCCCTGCCTTGCTGGCATCGTGAAGAACCGAGCTGCCCAGCTGGCAGCTCGAGCCTACAGAGAAGCACGATCGAAGCAGAGCCTAGCGGGATTTTCCAGAAACATCTTCTGCCCACACTATGAGCCCACTGCCTAAAGCTTCAGGTACCCAAATAGCTTGCTAACTCTTGACTGGAGTGCCATCCACATGGAGAAGGTGGTAGCCCCAGACGCGGTGGTACCTTCAGCGGTATCTGCTGGCCCACAGGCGGCACGTCTACGTGATGGAGGGAACACAGGGCAGCCCCTTCAGCCCCTTCAGCATGGAGGAGGCAGCAGGGTGAAGGACAAGAGATGGTCCTCCAGAGAAGGAGATCTTGCCTTCTCCTTTAACCCGCCGCCTCCTCCAGGCCACCTCGCTGACCTCCTCCACACTGCTGGAGAGCATCTTCAATTGGTCCACCAGCAAGGTGGCTTGGACCCATTGCTCACCCAGCACCCAAAGGAGAAAGTTAGGGGAGAGGGTGTAGTCAACCCGTGTGAGGGGGATTGTGTTCAAAATGCACATGATACACTGTGCTTGTGTTACTGAAGGCAGAATAGGTCCTTGCTCTTCAAGCGGGAATGGCAATGTCCTTCTCCGGACAGGAAGTACATCCTTCCCTCTGTCATGGCCGGGTACCCATCAAGCTCTGTCTCCTCCACAGGTGACCTTGCCACAGGTGCTTCTCACCACACCAGTGGAGTGAAGCTCCATCCCTTCATACACCACGCCCAGGCTGCCAAGGCCAGGAGGTGAGGAGCTGGAGCCTTCAGATGGAGTCAACGTATTTGGAGACTGAGGAGACGGTCCAGCAGCTAGGTGTGATGCCAAGGAGCTGGGCTGCCATGGCAGTCTTCAGCTGCTGCCACGTGGCACACCAGTTCCTTGCAGCATCCTGTTTCTACAAGCCAGACAGCAAAGTGCCACCATCCACCAGGACTGCAAATAAGCCAGAGACTGGTTTGAAGCAGGTTGATGGAGATCGGATAAAAATGGTAGTAACACCAGACTGGTGTCTGGACTAAAAACGTGAGTATGGAATTACCTGTGCTCCACAACCCTTGCCACCACATCACACAGAAGCAGGCAAATAACCCCTCTTCAAAAAGCGAAGATGCAGAGTGGAAGAGACCTGAGGTCAACGTGACTGGAGAAGCCTCCATCCTGGAGACAGAGGCGGGGAGTGCATTTTCAGTTTTAAGCACCGCTGCAGACAAGCAGCTTTCCCTCTCCAGCTCTCCACCTTTCCATCTCTCCAATGGAGCTAAAAAGTCCACCACTTCTTTGGTGAGCGGCTGTGGGTCTGAGGGATTGAAAGCGCTGCAGCATGCTGAGCAATGGGACATTTCAAACACATTTCAAACAGGTGTGCTACAAGAAGAAATCACAAATATCACAGAATCACGGAATCAATAAGGATGGAGAAAGGTCTTAGGGTAGAGGGTCTAAAGGACCTGTGTGTGGGATCATCACCCACTTGATGTGGATCATCAAGGCCAACCGTCAACCCACCACCACCATCCCTACTAGACCATGTCCCAAAGTGCCGTGTCTACACGTCTCATGAACACCTCCAGGGGTGGTGACTCCATCACCTCCCTGGGCAGCCAGCTGACTGGAGGACAGACCAGCCAAGCCGCCTTGGGCGGGCAGGCCGCAACGCGTGTCCGTCCCTGCATGCACCAGGAGCCGCCAGCGTGCTCACACTGGAAGAAAATCACTGTTTCTCAAAAAAAAGTGCAAATAATTGATTTTCTTCCATAAAATGCAGGAGAGGTCAGCAACACCCCTCCGAGCAGAGGCAGCAAGCAGGGCTCGGCCACCGGCGAGCGGCACTCCTGCACAGGCTGCCCCAGGCTGGCTGGGGCAAAGAGCAGTGTGCGGTGGCAAAGGGCTCCTGTCCCCACACCGTGGAGAAGAAAAACGAGGGAGCAGTTCAGAAGCGCTCTTCAGCTCACCTACCTTTTTAAAAAAAAAATACGAAACGGCGGCAAAGAGCGATTCCAAGTGTGTCTTTGTATACCATCGTGTGTAAACTTGAATCCAATTAACTTCAAATTTAACTACTAATGAAATTATCTCATTTTGCTATCAGCCCAGCTCTCATCCGTGGCAGTAATTAACCACCGGGGGTTGTCACTCCCAGACACATGACACGAGGACTTCCCCAAGCTCAGGTGCTTCAAACCCTTGCAGAATTCATTACCCTGACAGTGTGAAAACCCTTCACTTTCAATACCACAGGGCACCGACGCGTTTTTTTCCCCTTTATCTCACTGATTGCCAGTAACAGTATGAAAGAAATGAACCCACTGGAGAGGTAATTAATTACTGCAAAGGATACATTAGAAAATGCAGGGGGTGCAGGTGGTGGGGAGGGGGCTTGCAGAGCCCCTTTGCCGCTGGGGGGAAACCAACCCCCCCCCCTGCCGCTCCACGCCTACGGCAGACATGAAGTTGCCACCAGCTCGGGAGGTCTATGCGAAGCGAAGCAGGGGTGAAGAGATGCTCCTGTACCGTCACACTGTGACCTGCCCGCAGGATCGTGCGAGGGGCTCGGCAGGCGCTCCCAGCACCGTCCCACTCGCAGAATCGTAGAATCATAGGATCACAGCATCACACAGAATCCCAGCATGGCAGGGGTTGGAAG